CTTTAGGTTAAACTTTGAGAGTTTAGCTTTTAAAAGAAAAAAGAAAGTAATTTGAATGGGAATTGACCCTCTAAGATGCTAGCCAATTTAAGATCTGCGCTGTAGCACTACTCTCTGCAACATTGAAATAGGAAATATGAAGAAAAAATGTGGAATACGAAGGAATAAATTATTACTTCAACAGATGTCTACTCATGACCAAAACTACAAGAACTAGACAATCGGCCGAAAATGATTTGATATTCTTGTGTTTTGATTTTTTATGAGATTTTGACCCCACACATCTAGAAGTTATTCCACGAATTTCTTACAATATAAGGGTATACATGAAATTTACCTGTACTTTTTATTAGTTAATATCATTTTGACTAAAATTTATTACTTTGAACTTAATCTATAAATCGGAAAAATATGATTCGTCAATTTAAGTTGCATAAGCAGCTGCCATCAAGATTTCAGTTCACAGTTCTGGCATATTACAATTAAGAAAACTCTAAATAGTATAAATTCAAGTGCAGTAATCTAACATTGTATGTTTATGTGTTAATCACTTCTCTAATCATCATCCTATATATATTTATCCACATTTTATATTAGTTTAATATTTAAGTTGTTTTCCAATAGATGGAGTAATCATTAAAGAAAAGTGTTAGTTTATTAGTATTACTTAATTGAAGATAATGTGCGATAAAAGAAATGAAATAGACTTTAATAAACTCGAATTATTAAATAATATTCGCTTTTTTCTGATCTCATCAAATATGACCTACAACGATTGGGCGAACTCAAACGATACTAATTAAATTAGTCAAGAATTGGCATTGCCAATTGTATAGAAGTTGTTTGACCTTGTTTTTGCGACTTGGTCATATTGGCTAGAAGAGCTAGAGGAACTCACCTTGCCCGGAGTCCATAATTTGCATGATAGTTTCCAGAATTGGACAGTAGACTGAGTACATTCCTAGACATTTCACCTGCACCGTAGTCAGCACCATCAGCAAGTTTTGCTGCTCCTAGAATCACACTACAACGCGTCAAAGAGACAAGTTAAGTCAATATTTTGACAAATTCTCTGCTAAATAGCTGTGTCCTGGTATATTTATCTTCATTTGCTTCTCTGACGAATATAAATATAACGCTAAGAATGGCAGGGCTCATAAAGATGCCGGTGAAACGTCTGGGAATGTACCAAATCCACGGTAAACGCAACGAAATTAGACCGCGACTATATTATAGGCCACACCATCTTGATCTTCCTACATTCGATTGTACATTTTAATTTCAAGCCTAGTTTCGAATGCTAAGCCATTGGTAAATACTCTAAAATAACTTCGCATGGTCTCAATTTATTAGCATCTCGACAAAGAGTTACCTTATATCTTTATTTAAATATTAAACTATTTTGCAAAGCTTTATCCTATCGTTAAGGCCAACATAGGCAATGTCATATTGCCCATTATTTTTGGATTTTTGCAAACATTGTAGGGAACTTTGTGAGTACAATTATATTAATGGTTGGGTGTATACCTATCCATGCAACTTTGAACGATACAAAACCCCGATTATTGTCGATTCAAAAGTAGATGAATAAAAGGCTAGTTTCCATATGATAACGACGCAAAAATAATTAAAATATCAGATTTTGACGCTAACCAAACGAACAATATTGCACTTTGTAAAGAGATAATTAAAGTAAATTATATCTACAAAAGTATTTTCCTTGTGAGACAAACCAATATTACCTAGTTTACAAACAAGTTGCAAATGGAAAAAAATTTTTTTTATCAGATTGCAAAATCTACTGCTATTCACAACATAGAAGGCAGGGCATATAGTCACAGGAAATTAATAGAAAAAAACGTTTACTGAGGATACTGGCACACTTTTAAATGAGATGAATGCAAGGTCATGTATAGTTGATAACTCACAATGCTTATTTTTTCTGGCAGTTTTTGGATGCAGAGCAAGGTAGGCTGACGGTTCGCAAGCAAGAAATGAACCAGAAGCTGCAACTTTACTACTCGAGGAATGAAACTACGCGTTTGCGTATTGATGCTTTGGTGGAGAGGTGTCGGGAAGAGAACCAAGCAAGAAGAGACATGTTGCAGCTTTGGGAGTCGACGGTTGGGCAAATGGCAAAGCGAGAGAGTGACTTTGAAGATCTTGCTAAGGTAATGTGGACTCTACTTGGATTTTAAAAACGGACTTTTGAAGTTAGGATATAGATACCAAAAAATAAATAAAGATTAATAACTAGAATTTTAGTTAACTGTAGTAATTAGTTTGTACCGGGCTAGTTGAAATTAATAAGTGAACTAACAGCTAATCTCTATATTGC